CGCCAGGCTTGGCCCAGGCTTCTCCGGGGGAGTTTGCTCAGGGTGCTTTCCCGCGCAGAACGCGCGGGCCCGTGGCCGAGCGCGCCGTTGAGCAGTTGGTGCTGGATGGTTCCTTTCTGTCGTCCGAGGGGAAGGAAACAGCCGCCTTGGCTTTGACAGTCAGTTCTTAACGTGGTTATAAAGGGGTTTAAATTGTTAGGTCGTGGCAGGTTCCCCAAGGGGTTTTTGGGTTTGCCACTGCAGCAGACTGGGAACTGGAATGGGTTTTATAGCTTATGTACCTTTTACAAGTCTGTGTCTCACCTCTGCCTTTCCTTTTGTGGTGATTTTTAAAGTAAAATGATACAAAACTATCAATTCAACCACATTTGTGGAGTGAATTACACTCTATGGGTTGTTTCTTCAGCCACTGGTGGGTTTTTCAGTAATCCCCTGTGCAGTGGAAAGGAAAGTCTGCAACCCTGTTTGTTACTCTGTGATACTCTTGTTTGGTGCTTTCATATCCAGTTTAATGCCTTAATTAAGGTGTGGGTCTGTGTCTGTTGGAAAAGTCATGATCCTTAACCACAAGTTAACATCAGGAACTTAAAAGGAAACTGAACATTCTGACTCGTCCTAGGTATGTTATTGCTGACTTAGTACACTCTGTATGACCTATAGAGAGAGTAGATGTGTAGATACTTCTCTCTGTTTGTCTGAGTGAGCAGCTGCCTGAGGTGACAACCCGCCACATGAACCTTGTTTCCATGTCCCCATCCCTGCTCCTTTGGGCTTCTAGAATGCCCTTACAGTGCTTGAAGAGCCTTTGGGAGTTGAATTTATCAAGAACTTAGTTGATGTCACTGTAACTTCCTTTATGTTTGTGTATCTTTCTGGTTACGCTTAGTTGATGTCACTGTAACTTCCTTTGTGTTTGTGTATCTTTCTGGTTATGAAGCTCACATGGCCTTTAGGGAGAACAGTTCTAGGGTCAAGTTCAGCAGCGAGAAAAAGTCCATTCAAATAGCTGAATACTTCTTTGTTTTGTTTTTCCACCTCACCCCAGCTCAGAAGAGGAGGATTTCTGTTCAAGTGAAAGGGACAGAACTTGTGCTGGCCAAGCCTCCCTCTCCCCGTGGAGAGCAGACTCTGCTGTGAAGTAACTGATGGGGAGTATTTCCTCTAACTGTGGTCTCTGTCTTGTTCCAGTGGAATCTCAGTGGAAAACTCCAAAGCCGATGGACCTCTGTTGCAGATTTTATTTATGAACAATGTCATTACTAAGTAAGTATTTTTAACAGAAGCAATCCCACAGTGAATGGGAACCTGTTTGGATGTGTGAGTGTTGTGCTGTAGGATGGCTATGTGTTCTACTCAATAACGTAAGCCACGTAAGCCTGAGGGGGAGGAAGGCTCATGGGTAGTGTGACAGCAGATCTGTTGTTTCCATGGAATGAACTGTGACTTCCAGGAACTTGGAGTGAGTTTAAAGTTTGTATTTCGGGAGTGTTGTAGCTAAGTATAGGAAATTAAATTTTCCCTGCCTGTAAGTTGATTTTGTGCCACACTAAGAGTCTAATCATAGAACCATCAAGTTTGGAGGAAACATTAACCAACCATTAACCTGTCACTGCTGGAACCTCTAAACCAGATCCTCCAGTGCCTCATCCAGACACCTCTTAAACACCTCCAGGGATGGTGACTGCACCACCTCCCTGGGCGATTCCCTATTCCTGAACACCCTCACAGGGAAAACGTTTCTCCTACCATCTCCTCTGACTCCTTGGCCACCTGTGCACACTGTTGGCTCACACTGAGCTGTGCCACAAGCACTGCCAAGTCCCTTTGGGACCGACATCTCTGTCCCCACTCCTCCCCCAGCCTGTCTAATAGTATGTCATACTCGCGTTGGAGAGGGTTGGGAGCAGGACAGAAAGGAATTTTCCCCCTTTTCTGAGTTCTGAGTAAGTGGTAAATGCTTTATAAAAGGTATCTGGCACTTAGTTGAGCCTTCCTCATGTCCTCACCTCTGCACTTCTTCCCTCCTGCAGGCGATATCATCAGGAAATTGAAGACTTTGTTTTTAATTTAGTTCAGAAATACGAAGAGCAGAAGAAAGGTGACCAAGAGAAAACACACTTGAATGTTAAGCCACAGGTACCTGAAAACTCAATTATTGGGTGCTCCTCGTGCTGCTTCCCAGTGGGAATGTTGCAATTCTGCCCTGGGGAACAGGAGCAAAGATGGAATCAAGGAGCTCTCAGCGTTGTATAACTGCTTGTTTCAAAACAGAGCCCAGGACTAGGGAAATCTCCTTTCTCTCTATGGAAATGCTGGTTTGAAGTTGTTCCTAGTGACATTTCAGTAAAAGAAAATTAAGTTGGTTTAATTAAGACCATAAAGTATAACCTTAATGTAACCTGATAGTATTTGGCCAGCTCTGAGTGTTTGTAAGAGAACAGACTGAGCAACAGAGTCTGGAAAATTACACTTTCTCCTCTTAGTTTAGAGTTCTGAGTTTTGCTCAGCATTCCCTTAGAATAAAAGGCTGGAATGGCACATGGCTCTCCAGCTTTCCCTGAGCTCTTCTGATGAGAAGAAGGTGTTATTTGCAGTGAGCTGTGTCTGGTGCACACTGGGGAGCACTGTCTGCTGTGGGACATCTCTGTCCTGCTGATGCTGCACAGGGGACAGAGGCTGAGCTCCATGCTCTGTGCCTTTCACACACTTCACTCCCTCAGGAGCTCTTGCTGACTCTTCTTTTCCTTTCTCTGCCAGCCCTCCAGTGTTGTTTTGGAAGAGGACTGTAAAACAACCAGCTCAAACTCTGCCAAAAAAATGAAAGAAGCTTTTAGTGTAAGTTTTTGACTGTGCTCCTGGACGGTAGGTCTGATTTCATTCTCCTATTCAGCACACACTGCCATGAAAATCAGATCAGTTTCACTGGAATAGCAGTTAAATTCAGCATGTTTTGGCTACATCAGCTCTGATTATTGTAGGAGCCTGTGGTCAGTGGAAAAAACTGTTACATCTACAGGTGTGGGAGTGTATTGCTTGTAATTTCTTATGGAGTGGGGGAAAACAACCTGGAAGTATTTGAAACAGTGTAAATTTATAGAAATGCAACAAACCTCTCCTAAATTTCTGACATTTCTGACAATTCTCTGACTTTTTTTCTGCAGGTTGTAGGAAGTGTTCTGTATTTTACCAATTTTTGTCTTGATAAACTGGGACAGCCTATATTAAATGAGAATCCACAGCTGACAGAAGGATGGGAAATACCTAAGTATCCTGTTTGCTAAAACATGTTTCTCTTTGCTGTTTGTCACATCCAGGGAATGACAGTTGGTAAATTGAACTCCTATTTCTATCAAAACCACATCAAGTTTTATAGAGGGAAAGTTTAGTGAGTCATTAATGGCTTTTTTGGCCAAACAGAAGTGTTTGATGTGATTGACATGTTGATTTTTAGATCCTTGGGAAGAGTTAGTGCCTTATCCCCATGAATACATTTGGTGATTTTAGGCATTCCCTGATCAGGTTTGGAGTGACAGCTCATTGCAGGTTGAATCAATGTGTTCCCTCTATACAATCTGCTCTTTGGGAGAAGAAAAAGATTTTGGCAAACTCAAATGATATTTTTTTTCTATGTGTTGGAGCCAGAGGGAAAGTCTTTTACTGATGTTTACTCATGGAATGCTCTTGCCATACATCCATTCTAAAGTTGGGTCTTTCCTGGTCACTAAAGCCACTGTTTCAAAGGTGAAATTGAGGGAAATGTGGAAAAAAGTGGGTGCTAATAGTGTCATCTTCAATGGCAGCAATTGGAAAAGAAATTTCTCCCCAGTTTTCCAGTGTTGCTTCTGCCCTGGAAATACTCAAGATAAGAACCAGTTTGACAGTTCATTTCTGCAGTATCTAATTCTTGGCCTTGGAATCAAGGGCATGTCCTGGTGTGAAACAATTACTTCTATCCAAACAAAACCTGCAAGTTTCCAATCTCCCAACCTGGATGAAGGGAGGAGATGCCTAACAGGGGAATTTCTCCTAAAATGCCAAGTTGAGTGTTGTCTGAACTTCGCTGTCTGCCAGCTCAGCTCTGAGATTGCTCATTAAATGTCCTTACTGCACCTTTCTTCAGAGCTCCCAGGGGTGGTACTGAGCCTAACCCAGCACTGATTTCTGAGTGAAGTGCTGTGTCGGGTTCTGAGTGCCCAAAGTCCTGCCCTGAGTGGACATGTCATTTTGAAACTCTTAACAAAACATGGTACTAATAAGATTGCTGTGAAGAATATCAGAATCAGCAGCTTGAAGTTCCTGCCTGTCAACAAGAGGGTTGTGGTTTTAGCAAGTGCTGCTAGAGAACTGAACTGGTTCTGGGGTAGAAATTGGGTAGGAGAAAACAGCACAAGCTCATCTTGGCAAATAGGTTAGAGTAGATACCATTTTAGAGTTTATCCTGTGGATTTTATGCCAAGGACTCCTCTGCAGCTTAGTGCAGAAGGGTCAGTTTTCTGTTCAAAGCACTATTAGGTTGTCACAGATATTTTAAACCAGACTGAAATTTTGCTTCATCCAGTAGCAATTCCTTATTGAAATCTAAAGATATCAGCAAGTTTTCAGCCAGATTCTCTCCCTAGATGGACAAGAAATACAAGTCAAACCCAGAAGGTTTGTATTACTCTTAAATATCAAGTTCTGAGGTGAGAAGTTCAGATATACTCTGTGATTACTGCCCAGCTCATGACCCTTTGGCCATACCTGAGCAGTGAGTCTGAATGAAGTTACACCAGAGCTGAGCTTCAGTCGGTGAGGCTCTGGGTTCCTGGACTCTAGGAAGGGCCTGAAATCAGTCTGTGAAAACTTCCTGAGCTCTGTACTTAATTCCTGTTGGGTTTAGTGATTACTTTGCCATCCTTGCCCTAATGGTTTGCAGAACGTCTCCTGCCTGATTTGATAGACTTCAGATCTTCGAGTTGATTGTATAGTTTTTATGGGAGGCCAGAAGTGAAGTGAATTCAGTTTCTAGCTGACAACTGTGTGGTCTCCATAGCATCTCAGTCTCTGATTTCAGATGCAGTGAAGACCAGGAAAGCTTTGAGTGGGAATTTCAGAGATGAAGGCTAAGCTCTGGTTTGCTTAGACATCTGACTGGCAGAAGGGGAAGCAGAGTGAAGGGCTGTGCTCTCGACATGGGATGGTGATAAAGTACTTGGGTGTTTGAATACTCTGTAAAGATGAAGCAGAAGAGACACTTTATCGTACTAGAGGCTTCAGGAAGTTGCAGTGTGTGTGGGGTGACCTTGAACACTCACCCTTGTGCTCCCTGTTGTCTCCACTCCTGGTTTCCATTGGGATTCAGGAAAAACAAATGTTCAGACAAGAAATCTTCTTAAAGTATTGGTATTTCCCCCCCCAGTGACATTGCAAATGATTGCTGCCCTGCTCTGAACTTAGAAGGAGAACTAAAGCTGCAGTCAGCAGCAGTTCCATGCCAGGTTTTCAGTGCACAATCCCACAGTATGCATAGCCTGCTCAAACTGGGGCCAGGGCTTGCCAAAGTAGTCATGTTCTGCTTCTTTCTACTGGGAACTGGTTCTCAGCGTTGTCAAAAGGGTCAGATCTCTGAGGGTACCATTTCCCCCTCCCTGTCCCTCCCTCACCTCTCGTGCTCTCCTCAGCACTGTGAAATGAGCACTGCTCTGGTGCCCCAGAGATTAAGAGAAGCAGAAGCCTATGACACCAGTGAGCAATGCTTATGTTTTACTTCTTCACCTCTAAACCTAAAAATCTGGCAGGAATGAAAAGCATTAAGTACATCTCTAGCACTGCAGAGTTGTTTTCAGGTGTAACTTCTTGTGCATTTTTTAAGCAGGCCCAAACCTCATTGTTTCAATTGTGGTTCTGAAGACCATCAAATGAAGGACTGTCCACAGGTAAAGTCTCCCCAGTAGTCCAGAGATTGCTGCTCCCCACTTTCCCAGTTAAAAAACCCAGATATATTTGGGTCAGAGTGGACAAATGGTTTTGTTATCTCTGTTGATTAAATTCTGATGTTCGTATTACAAAATCTAACATTCTGAGCCAGAAGATGAATTCATGTTGTAGCGTAATCGTAGATTCATAGACTGTCAAAAGATTGGGATGGATCTTAGAGATGATCCAGCCCCAACCCCTGCCCTGGGCAGGGACACCTCCCACCAGAGCAGGTTGCTCAAGGCTCATCCAACCTGGAATGAAACACTGCCAGGGTTGGGGCAGCCACAGCCTCCCTGGGCAACCTGCGCCAGTGTCTCCCCACCCTCACAGGGAAAACTTCTCCTGACATCTAGCCTAAATTCCCCTCCTTCAGTGCTCCCCATTGCCCCTTGTCCTGTCCCTGCAGCTCCTAACAGGGAATGTGACCAGTAACAGTTTCCCTCTTTGAATTGGTGGAAGGACTTGAGTTGGAACAGCCTTTCCCCTGGTTCAGATCTCTGCAAGCTCCAGTGCCAGTAGTGTGGGTTGTTGCTCTGAGGTTTTCATTGCAGCCAGTTGTGCCACAGAGCTGTGTGACTGGTGAGCCTGGGGAGGGTGAGCAGTGCTGGTGCTGTGCTGGGGAGGAGTGTGTGGCTGTGCACTGTCCAAGTCTCAACTCACCCACTGTGTTACCTTTAAGCCCCGAAACGCTGCTCGGATCAGTGAGAAGAGGAAGGAGTTTCTGGAGGCTTGTGGGGACAGCAGTCAGAACTTCCAGCAGCGTTACCATGCAGAAGAGGTAGAAGAGAGGTTTGGAAAATTTAAGCCAGGAGTAATCAGGTATCTTTTCCTTCCATTTGCATTGCTTTTCTGGGATACCTTGTCTGTTTTTGGAGTGGCAGATGATAATTTCCATCCTAACTCTTAGCTGTGGCCTATTACGTTCAAGTTTGCTAAATAAAAGGTTTCATATGTTGCACAGATATTTTTCCCACAAAACTCACTGCTAGCTTAATAGTCCTACCCTTGTCCACAGCCCTTTGCCTGGTGCAGGGAAAGATGTTACTCTGACTTCTCAGCTTTATTATGTTCCTAATCAACTGTGATTGTCTGTAAAATCCTGAACATTTGGAGCTTTTGGTGTGCTGCAGCAGCCTCCAAAGGAATCACCAGGAAATGAGTGTCCTGTTGGGGTGCTGCAGTCAGGGCCATGAATCAGGAGTAACAGGTCAAGGAAGTTATTCTTGGTGCAGAATTAATTCTTACAACATGGTTGAGCATGTGGTGCAAAAAGGTATATTTGAGATCAGCTGGTTTGGATCTAAAATTGTTCTGTGTGGGATCGAAAAGCCACAGAGCTTGAGCTAAACCGAAGCTGCTTTGACCTGACAGTTGCCAATTTAATGCAATGTTCATAACCTCCTTTTGCCAACGCTCAGCTGTGGATTCTGCTGGAGGACACTGTGATTTCTGTTTGTTTTCCTGCCCCAGTGGAGTCCTCCAGGATGCACTTGGAGTCACAGACAGGAGTCTTCCTCCCTTCATCTACCGCATGCGGCAGTTGGGCTATCCCCCAGGCTGGCTCAAGGAGGCTGAAATGGAGCACTCAGGACTGGCACTTTACGATGGAAGAGGTAAGGAATGTGGGGCTGGAATGCAGGTTTAGCATGCAGCCTGTTTACTGGCTGTGCACTGCTCAGGAGTCCATAAAGTAACTCCTTGGTAAACCTTCATCTTCCTCATGGAGGAGTGAGAAAGTTATAAATTAAGTTTTCTAGTCATGTAAAAATAGTCCTTTTTTTGTTATCTAGCCCTGTTGGAGCAATGACATCAGTTCTGCCAGGGGTGCATTGCATAGGGGAGGAGTGTCAGTGCGAAACTGCAGGATGTGCAAATAGCTTATTGCCCAGTTTCCTCCTCCTTTGTCTCTTATGTTTCACCAAGGAAACCGTAATACTTCCCAAAGGGAAATAATTGGTGTAGTGGGAGTAAAACCACCAGCAGCAAGCAAACAGCACATTTCTTGGAACCAGCCTTGTCAAGTGAGACTGAGCTCCATCGTGTCCCTGCCCAGGGCAGGGCTGGAACTAGGTGATCTCTAAGGTCCTTCCCACCCAAACCCCTCTGTGATTCTGTGCAGCAATTCACAGCTTTTTGCTAACGACCAACGTTTATGCTGCACCTCAGAACAGTCCTGGTGCCAAATTCTGAGGGTGGTCATGGTATATGAGTATTAGAGAACCCAGTTAGGTGTCTGGGGAAGCTTCATGCATAGATCCGATGGATTTGGTCATTGTTACTGCCTTTGTGGATCAGAAAACCTTGTATCAATACTTACATTCCAAAATCCTGCTCTTAAATCCTGTGGATTCTTGAAGTAATGCTTGTAATTAACATCACTTGATCACCTTTCATCCCAGGTGATGGTGCAGCAGAAGACGAAGCCTCTCACCAGCCCAAACGTGTCACGTACGATGTCTCTAAGCTGGTAAACTATCCAGGCTTTAATACATCCACTCCAAGTGGGATCCCAGATGTAAGTAGCTGTTCTCTGCCTTCTCAACAAGCTGCTGGGTGACAGGAACTGCCTTTAGCCAAGTCTTGATGTCTTGGATTCTGCACCTGACAATTCTGAGCACATGGTTTGGGGCTGTTGTAGTTAGTGTGGCATCCAGCTGAGAGCTGCCACGACCTGTGTGGGTAAGGTCTGACAGTGCTCGGGGGCCTGACTCCACTATGAGACAGTAGGGGCCTGGAAGGATAGTCTGGTGGTTTTTAAACCCCAGACTTCACACAGGACTGGTTGTTCCTTCCATGCACCTAAATCTTCTGCGTGTTCCTGGAATGTGAAAGCTACACAGAGCAGTCGGTGCACAACCTCTGCAAAGCTTTGTCACAGCCAGAGCAAACCAGGCCCTAACAGAAGGCCACAGAGTGGGTGCCCTCAAGCACAGAGCACACGAGAAATCTGTGGCTGCTGCACTTCTATTTTCGGAGGCTTTTGGGACTGCTGTCAGTGGATTTCAGCACTGACATCTCCAGCTTCATCTTGGCCCATTCAGTGGCCTCCAAATGTGTTTTTCACTCAGTCTTCTTATCCAGAGTTCTATTCACAACGTTTTTTTCAGTTTTCACTAAAAATCAAGCTTCCAGAGTGAACCTTTTTGTTTGGGCAGCTGTTGCAAGGGGCACTTTGCAGCTGTGTTACACGTGCTGAGGAGCAGCTGCTATGAAGTGGTTAAGAAAGGTGATGGTTTATTTTAGTTATGCTCCTCCCAGACACAGAGCTTTGCTGCAGTTGGGGCTCACAGGTGGGAGCACTTTGTTTTGCCAGGAGTTCCTGCTAAAGATCTGCTTATTACTCTGGTTAATGAGGCTTCTGATGAGAGCTTGAACGCAGCTTGGCTGGTTGATCAATCAGTGTCTAAGCTGTTCTGGTGTGTTATTAGCCAGGCATACACCACATTATTTCTCTTTTTTCTCCTCTCTGCTGTAGGAGTGGCAGCTGTTCGGTTCCATCCCCATGCAGCCATCTCAGCAGAAGGATGTGTTTGCTCACTACCTTTCTAACTTCCAGGCGGTAAATACTTCTCCTTGTTACAAAAAACCAAAATGTGTCTCGTGGTTAGTGTAGGCAGTGATGAGCTCTTGCTTGTATCTTCTCTGCACAAGGGACAGACTTTCTTACTGGCGCTGGTGGCTGTGAAATGCTGATTTGGGCTAGCAAAAGAGTCTCACATTTAAAACTCATTATGTCAGTGAATATAAGCAGTTCAGTTCATTACATCCCTCAAATGTCAATGTCCAGTTTTCAAACTGGGTCCCCAAATGATTGTAGTTAATTGCTGTAAGTGGGTTCCTGTAGCTGGAAGTGTCACCCTGGTCAGTTATGTACTAATTCCTTTGTTTTCCTGGATAATTTCTCCTCAGCCGTGTCCAAAATCCAGCAGTAAAAGGGCTGCACCTCAGGCCAGGTCTCATCATTCGAAGCGGCCGAGAGGAGACAGCTCCGAGGTGGCAG